AGAAAAATGAGAATAAATGAAAGGATATTTGAATGAAAAATGAAAAATAAAGATTTTGCTTCTTCTTCAAGATCAAGTAAATCCTTTAGAATAATGAGAATAAATGAAAGGATATTTGAATGAAAAATGAAAGAATACAGAAATGAAAAATGGATGAAACATGAAAAAATAGAAAAGATTAAGGAAACTGAAATATGAGAAGAAACAATTAAAGGAATTATGTAAATTCCTGGTCAATATTTCCAGGTAAAGTAGTAGTTTTAATCATATTACATGTATATACTGCTGCATACTGTGTAGACTTAAAGTATTGGGATTATCATTATTAAATAATGTAAACAAAGATCACCTTTGAAAGAAGGGAAGAATGGAATGAAAGAGAAAAAAAAATAAAAGGAAAGAGAAAAATGAAAGAAACAAATGGTACCTGTTGGGCTTCCTGTTGCTGTCTAGCTCTTTGTCTAAGCATCTGACGTCGTCTCTCAATAGCCTAGATAAAAACAGAATTACAGTTACAGTGGGACTATTAAAATCATTACCAATAGTGTAATGGTGGTAAAGGAAGTCTTACCTCTTCATCTAGTTCCTCTTCCTCACTAGAATAAAAGATATTTTGAATCAAATAAAATACATAATTTTTTGCCCTAAAACCTTATGAATGAACAGGATTACAAAAGCCTCTAATAAAAATATAAATTGTTGTAATCATTCAGTAACAACAAATCTTTACTTAAATATTTAGCACAGAAAGTCTTTATCTCTAACCTGCTCTCCTCTTCCATTGGAATAACACGTCTTCTTGCCTCAGATTCATTCTGGAACAAARTACAAGTCAAGAGTTTACTTCAAGCCTTAGCAAATTTTACATTTTAAAGGACAGTTCTTTGATTTATCTTTTATAGGGCAAGTGGTAGACCAATTGGCAGTATGGGTAAATTAGCATACATTAGTAACCATGGAGACTGAAGAATCACATATTGTCTTTACATCTTGCACAAAGAATAAGAATTTATAATACATGAATAATATTATGTCAAAGATATTCCTTATATTATAGCATTGATTAAAAGATCATGTCTGTCCATGAAAATTTGTGTGTTGCCGTAACTGTATTTGTTGTTATCKTTTGTTGATWAGTTTGTTTAAATGTAACTTTGATTGTCAGTTAAACACAGATTACGGTACCTCRTCGGCAGATAAATGATCATCTCCAGTGGCTATAACCTCAGGTTCATGYAAACGATGTCGRCGCACATCTTCCCTATAAATATACATGGAATATCTCAATATGAAGGACTAAGCTTGATTTAAGATTAACTTTTCTTAATATAGTAGAGTGCAAGCACTAAAACTGTGCAACATAAATACCACTAAATACTGCTAAATACTGCTAATTCTATTGTTTTCTATTGTTTAATTAACACTATTTTGCAGTAAATAGTGGAAAGTGTTGCACATATTTAGTGTTTGTACTCTATTGAGTTAATATAACAACATTGTCATAAATATTTAAATAAACATATATAATTACGTCGTTAAACAAGTTAAGATCACTAACACCTACCCATCCTCTTCTTCTTTAGCTCTTTCTTGTAGCCGTCGTAATCGTCTGTCTGTTTTCTCACCTTGTTCAAATGCCTTCAACAAAAACATTGTTATATCTTCACATTTGTTTCCTTTCTTACTTGATCTATATTAATTGTTCTCATTTTTCATATCTTTCTTAATAATACATGCCAATGTACCTGCTCAAGGTTTTCGTCTTCATCTTGCACCCCCCTGACTTGCTCACCAAACACTTCCATCTCATCATCTTCCTCATCGCTTGAATATCGTGCGTACTCTGGTCTACAGTATCACAAAATACATGAAAACATTTACACCTAATTTCATAAACGTTGTCCAAGAAAAAAGAAATTTTACTATTTAGGAATTAATTAAAAAACAAAAGAAAGTGTTCGGCTTCAGTGGTCATGTTTTGTCTTTTAATGCATTCCTAATTTCCTAAATCCCTAAATCTCAGGATGATGTTTTCGTAATTAGGTGTACATGTATCAACAAACAACAATGTCAGTCTGACAGCAAGTGAAGTTGGTTGCAGAACAACAATAATAAAACAACTATTTTCATGTTCTGATGACGCTGGTGTCTGGCGAAAGCTCGTCAACACCTATTTGATTTTCTACAGTAGTGTACATCCCTCATCAATTATTTCAACTATATAATGCTACTGAAGGACAACTTCTTTCMTAATTTTTCAATAAAAACTCTACTTTTGCGCACCTTTTTCCAGCAACATATCTGGTGACTTTCACTTTCTCCATCGTTATTTCACCTGAATTAAACAGAAAACAATAAATTTACACATACATGTGTCTATGTTCATTATTACTAGAACATTATTGAGGCATTTCGTCGGGACAAACGAACTACACACTCCAACAACTGTATTTTAAGCTTARGTCTGTGTAAAATTACTCGTCTTCAATCTTCACAGTACACTCGTTTATTTTATAAACGTTTATTTTATAAACTGCATGCATTATAAAACTTTATCTTTTGGAATATAGAATACCAAAGAATAAAATATAAAACGAAACATGTGTTTGAGGGTCTTGAATGACAAGGAAAGCCTTCGAGTTCAAACCTTTTTCATTTCGAACTGGAACAGCTCCTGCCGCGCAGTTTAGCGGGATTCTTGAGTTGAGAATCTTTGTAGACATCATGATTGAGATTATAGATCAAATCTCAAGTCCCTTTTTATCTTTTTTACACCAAAATTGTCTTGTTATGAATCAATAAATGTTCCCCAAGTATCAAAATGGCGTCGTTTCTTCGCACGCGGTCAGAAGTCTGGGACTAATGACTCTACCGCTGACCGAAGATGAGCATGCAATTCCACAGGGATACCATAAACTCAAATTTCCCTGAGACTGTTAAAAAAGATAAAATTATAGAATGACACAAAAAAATGACATGAAAGCATAAATGAGAAAAGATATTAATACATGACTGTTTCGTTTATCTGTATGGTGACAAAGTGTCAAACAATATTTCCGGCAAAAGTGTTGCAGTATTGTATTTCTTTCACATTGCTTGAAGGTTCTGAATAAAACTGCAACATCAATTCCAGTTTCGTAACAGCAAAAACGTTCCTTTGGTTGGTGAATACAGGTCCACAGAACATTATTCATCAGTTACTTTCGGGAAAGAGACGGAACTTGACCAACGCACTCGCCAAATCTCGGTTGTAAACTTCTGTAAAAAGCAGCTCAGCAAAAGAAGCAAAGAAAACAATGTAAGTTGAAATGTTAAATTCTCGAATCTGCTTCACATCCCGCTCCGCGCGCGATTCTGAGTTGTTTTCCCGATTTTCCAGTTCCTCTTCACACACTCATGCTGACAAAACAAGCTCATAGTTGATTAATTTTCTAGATCTAAAATGCTGATGCAACAATCACGAAGCTATTTCCTTGTTTACATCCTTGCCGATGCATCAAGAAACAAAGCAAAGTTCCACATTGTCGTCCTTCATGAAGAAGTTACTGATTCTCTTCTAACACCCCACGTATCCTTTGTTTAGGCCTAGTATTCTCCCTTTTTTACTCGATKACTTATAGCAAAACAGCTTATAGTCAGGTTGGTTTAGATTAATAGTTGCCAGTTTAGAAATAGTTTTAAACGCAGGAAGTGGCTGTATACGAGTATGTCGGATCGCGATCTATGTATTTGACTTGTGGCACTCAGCCGGTTTGCGCCAAACTTCGCGCGTTTGTCCAAGCTAGAAGTGCGTCATTTATTTGCGGTTCTTGAATACCATGCGAGCATTGTTCTCTAAACCGATGTATCTTTTTTTTTCTCTCTCTTCCTTTTAGTTGTAAAAACGGTAAAGAAAAAATGGTACAGGTAAAAATGTCTCAAACATTCCGCATTTATAATCATCTTATTCACTTATCAGCATTCCATCCACTTCGTCAATCATTCATCTATTCATTAATTTCTCCATTTCATTTATTCATTTATTCAATAATTCATTCATTCGTTCATTTCATCAAACCATTACTAATTGATTTATTCGATACTGATTTCAGGACTCAGTTCATTGTTCGAAAATACCCTGAAGRCAAYGTAACAAGCGATAGMCCCCCAARAACAGATCTTCCTGACTACAAGAAGTGCAAAGAGTCGCCATTTTGTTTCTCGTACATAGCWGCTGAGATCGAAGGCTATAACGTGACTATAGGAGATGGTAGAATGTACAACGGTTACTACAACGCACCATTAGAACCAGCCACGACGTACAGAATATTCACTAGAAGTGTGTCCAAGTCAAGCGATAAWGTTAGTCTATATATTTATCTAAAAATGAACCATCTGAGAATGCTTGCATTTGTGGGAGCTCACAGAATTATTTTTAAAAGCCGATAAATTTCTTAATTTGGATTTACTGATTCTTTCTTAGAAACCTGAAATAAGTTTTAGCATCCTAAGACCCTCAAAAAGAAGAGCAGTATCAGTCCTAACATATTCCATTATAAACGCCCGTTGAAATACAATCCTAAATATAAATTTTGTCGATGTTTTCCTAGACAATAGAATATTTTCCTGCCATTGGAAGTTACGCGTTCAAAACCACAACGACTAAATCAAATACAAAAAATAACACCGATGTCTTCACAGCCAAAAAACAAGGTAAAACAACATTGAAACTATAAGACTATACAGCTGTTTTCAGTATTGTGTACGGACAATTTTTTTTTTTTTTTTTTGAAACGCGTCCTAAAGCTATAATAATTAAAAAGCTGTAGCTCACAATATGGTTGTTTTGCCCCGGCGCGTCTGGTCCTTCTTGGCCATAAGGGTCCTCTTTCCTCTTCTCACCATGCTTCAAAGAGGGCCGACTAGGCAGGCTTCGTATGGTCCGTATAGCCCCCAGACCAATATATTCTATTTTGATTCCATTTTTATTTCTATACTAAGAGGTTGAAAGCGCAAGCTGGTTAACACTCCCTTCGTTCGTCGCCATACTCACCATCAATATCATTCTCATCATCGCCATAATAGTAATAACAACATTMGCTCTAAGAAGGAAGATGTTTTGTAAGAAAAAACAAGCAGATAGCACCAAGAATGAAACGGCTTACGCTTCTGTTGAGATGAAAGATCGAAACGTTAGAAACAACGGTAGGAAGACTCGTTATCAAATATCACCACCCACTGAACAAAGCAGCAATGATCATTATCAAAGCCTCGACAAGACTACAAGAACAACACAGGTAAATATTGTTTGATGATCGTCTAGTGCGCATGTCATTGAATAAGCAGTTGCTGAAAAAATTATCGCAGGCGCGCGCATGAAAACGAGACTCAATAGTCTGGTGACGCAAGCAAACCAAGAGGCATTTCTATTTATAGCTGATCATGAAAACAGCTCGGCGCAAACGGCAAGAAACGACTTCCTATGTTTGCGCAATTCTTGTTCTCCGCTCCCTTAATATATTTTCGCGCAAAGCGAGAGTGACAAAGATTTAACAAGTTCTGTTTTTCTTTTTCTTCCAGAATACTGTGAAATATGAAAATGTCAGGCGTAAATTGCCCGATATCCCTAAAATCTAAGCTAAACAGGCCAGTAACTTTGAGGACAGTCAGTAAACTTGAGCTTATAATCTGAGCCATGTTGGATAAAGATCCAGATGTGTTGCTGTGCTTTGTTTTAGTCTTATTACGAGATGTGCATGAACAGTGAAAACCTAATGATAGATTAATAAAGCTTTTCATCAATTACGTAGACGCGCCAGTGGTAATGAAAGTAACTRAAGTTCATTCACSGYTTTKMAAAAGCCACTTCTATACTTTCAGTTATTTGAAAAACCTCTTTGTAAAGACGTGCATCTTGWTTGTGTCTGAATCGTGCATTCATCATCCAAATATTCAATAAAATCTGAGTGTGTAAAGTCTTGAAATCTTAGTGTACTATCTACGTCTTTCAGGATACCTTTGTCGCCTTCTAACCGAGAGAGAATGTGAAGAAAACTCTCCTCGCAGCATATCACATCTTAATCTAATAATGTAACGTTAATGGTGATTGYCTTGGTGGATCATAGAAGTAGTTAATATCYCCWTTAACACCTTCATCCTTTCCAGCCTCTCTCGGTCGAATTGGTGGATTAAGTATGACGTCACATCCGGTTTGCTTTTTATCTTTTGTGCACGTGATGTACTGATCTATGATGTCATCAAAATGACTCAAGGGGGAGTTCCCTTGGGACAGCAAATGGTAATGAAAGTCTTGAATCTTAAACTTAGAGCCCAGTTCCTTTTTTGCGCGTTGACGTAATTTTAAGATATACTGTCGCCCAATCRTGTACGACGTCGCCTGACCGAAGGCGGACTGGTAACGAGTTATTGCCGAGTCTGAGACGGAATATTCTTGTTTAGCTTGCGAGGCTGTCATCCCTTTGTGGTGGATACCAGCGTCAAGAATAAGACGTTGAGCTCGATCTATCTGATGKTTAGAAAAAATTWCAGCRTTATTTTCATACTGACTGAGTGACAGATTGACTAACTGACTGACTAAAAGAYTCTGACGGATTGATGATAGACAATGTCCATACCTGTCCCCTCAGCATACCATATTTGGCTAATGGTCGCTCCTTAAAAATATCTTTTATTACTGTTTCCGTATAGGCAAGATATTCAGCATATACTCCCCAGCCTTCSACGAACGGCCAGTATTGCGTGAGCTTGTCTAACCATGTGATCACGCCCCCACAAGTGTCACGAAATCGTTCGAGATATCCCTGTAACTGTCACACAATCATATGAGAAAAAATGAGTAGCGTAAGCAGACTGAGATGTAATAGATGGTTTGGGTTACCTGTGTGTGGTGACCAGGTCTCCCCTCGTGAACACAAAAGTTCAAAAGACGCCATTTTGGCCCAAAATTCTTCACGAAGAAAGGGAGACGGAAGCGCGAGGTGGTAAGGCATTCTGGGTCAGACTCATAATAAGAAGGTACGGCCGAAGATGGATTAAAGTCTGCTGTAAGTTCAAGAGGGCAATTTGGTACTGAGTACTTGGGTCCCGTGAAGTAGAACAATGACACTGTTCTTGGATCGACAAGACTGTTGAACTGAAAATAAACGCTTTACAATTATCGACGACCATAGATGAATACATAGGTACATAGTAATGCTATAGATTGAATGAAAGCGCATGTTTCGTGGCTATCGTTGCAGTCCTTATGTTTGCGTCCCGTTTAAAATCAAATGGAATCATAACAAGATGACGAGTTGCCATTGATTGCTTGGTTAGCGCGTCATAAAAAATGTAATTTGTYGACAATTTCTTTACCATTTCTGCTTCTGCAAAGTATCTCTCGATCACTTCCCATCTCACAGGACAATTCATCCTTGCATCTTTCTCGTTACTGCATCGTTTGAATGCGTTCTCGTCYGATTCGTTTGCCGGCAGTGAGCCATTGTTGTAGTAAAACTCGGAGGAATTTAGCTTAATATCCAAAGCATTTAAAGCCGTTTTGTCGTCTGATTCTCCGGTGATTTTCTTTGCAAGTTCAGTAATCTACAACAAGAAAGTTGTTGGAAATTACTTACAATTTACGTATACAAARCTACTGGCAACTTTTTCCATCACGTTGCGTCAAAATGCGTCAAAGCACCACATTGAACAGYGGTATTTCCACAACACSCATGCTTACARTGCTTAATCCTACCTGAGGTTTYAGTTTATTGTTCAGCTCAATACCAAGTTCATAAATAGCATCAGGTGTAATGTTTGTAGTCGTGAAGCTTCCAACAATTTTTTTATACGTCTTTTTTCCATCTAACTCCTGCCCGGTGGGSAGACGTTTCGTAGTTGGCTTGGTGGTGTCCGCTGTACCGTTGGTATAGACGTATTTTAGTGGAAGTGAAGCAAGACCGCTGGATACGTTATTGGGGACGCAGTGAGTTAGGTATTCTCCTCGTATGTATCTAAATTAGAAAAAAAAAATCGATCTTTAATGACAAAAGTCTCCTTCACGGTTCCCTGCGCCATCTTGAAAGGTAGCCGTGCCTTTACATCGAAGGGAGACAACCGTTGAGCGTGCAATGATAGATACCTGTGAATAATTGTCTGTTGATGTGAAAGAAGGTTTCTATCATTGCACGCTCAACGGTCGTCTCGCTTTGATACAAAGGCACGGCTACCTTTCAAGATGGCGCAGGGAACCGTGAAGGAGACTATTCACGCGAGACTTGGRATCTATTTCCCTGTAATCTCAATGAGTACTTACCTGAACATTTCGTGAATCGGTTTGCCTACAAACTCAACAATGAATTCCCTAAGTGATTCACTGGCAGTTTTCCCATAATTGGCTTTCCATGTGTTCATCTCGGCAGAATTACTGGTAATATTTGACAAAAAGTTCTTGTCCAGAATGTCCTGCATGAAGGGTTCTTCTAGCACACCTATCAGAACAAAACAAAAAAATATAGTATTGTACCCTGACAAATGTGGAAAGCCGATATAAGCCCTGTTATAAGACCAAATTTTCAACCACTTTAGCTAAGGTATATGATCAGTAAACGAACAGGAATATTATCCTTTAATAGAATATAAATAATAGACAGACCTTGTTCKCCAGTATCAGCTATTTTAATATATTTCATTCTGAGTCCATTGGTACCAGCGTGACACGCCCCTATCGTGGGTACCATCCCAGCATTCACTCCGTACTTTAAGTTTTCAGTATATTGTTCAAAGGCGGTTTTGACCTTAAAAAGAAACACATTATATGATAGATACGTCGCTTTTGAGTAATGCATACTGTCTGCATGGGAACGCTTTATTGAGGATTGCAAAAAACCTTCTATTTTTAGAATTTGCAAAGAAATAGCTGAAAATACAGTCAACTCTCTCGTAAGCAACCACCTCAGGATCAGGAAAAAGTGGTCGCTTATACGAGAGATGGTCGCTTACGAGAATTTTTTTTACAAAGTTTATATGGAAAACTGAACAAACGGGAAGTTTAAAAGGTGGTCGCTTACGGGAGATGGTCGCTTACTAGAGTGGTCGTTCAAAGAGATTTAAATGTAGTTAACTTTGATGTTTCACTTTCAAAATTACATACCGTTCTCAGTCTGTCACGTAATACTTCCATGTCCTTTACTGTATTGGGCTTGAGATAACGCAATCCTTTCCCCAAGTCACGYCCAATGTCACAAATAGGAACCATGAAGCACCACATGTTTGGTAAAAGCAAGTAGTCCCCTGAAGCAGAGAAATTTCCAATCTTACTTCAATCAATTTCAACAAAGTTCTTCAATTAAAAAAAACATCAAAAACACAAAAGGTCATGAGTAATGGGCCTCTGACAAAGGTGAGATTAATATGTAGTTTTTATCATTATAAAGGCTCGTTTACACTTGTGATTTTTGCAGCGCAATTGTCGCGCAACAATCACCACTTTGTTCTCGCGCACCTTTCAATCGTACGTGTAAATATCCCTGCGAGTTCCAGCTAAATTTCAAGCATGTTCGAGACTATGGCGATTGTCGCATGACAATCGCGCTGCAAAAAAATCGCAAGTGTAAACGGGCCTTAGTAATGCCACGTGCTAGCAGCCACGACTTGTGATCGAATTCAAGAGCGGTCCGTTTTCAGTCTACTATTTGAAATGCTTCAGTTATCATTGGAYTTTAATAGATTTGCGCAAAATGGACCAAAACAAAAGTACTTTCATGATGCTTTCTGGGTTTAGCTTACATTCTTTTGAGTAACAAAGCCGGTCAAATGAACTAAGTATACATCTAGAAACTATAGTTAATTATTATATCCATTAAGCCTCTTCCTACACTTCCCCGGCCATGATCCATGACCGCCATGCATGACATGATCACGTTCCTTACCCYACCCCCCACAGCCAGTGTTTTCGTACCTGTGTAGTAGTTCGTACCGTACGTATACCCAAGACCATATTTCAGTAGGTGTAAAATTTGAGACAAGGCCTTGGACTCTCTTAGTGACAGTCTCTTCTTGTCGATCTTCAAATCTTCAACTTCTTTTAACAATTCTCCGCATTTATCCGTAAATTTCTTCTTTGCAAACGGCGACTCGTCGTATATTTTAAATTTYTGACGAATTTCTTTGACAGTTACAGGTCTTTTGTATTGTATTTTGTTAGGAAAGGTCTCGTAATAAAAGTTTTCRACTTTTTCAAGAAACGTGTAAAATCCTCTATTMTTAGCTTCGCTTGATGGCTTGCACATATTCGCGTAGGCTGTGAAATATAGAAAGAAAGAAACACTTAGATAGTCTTATTTTTAGAAAAAAGTACACAACAGATAGAATTCAGTACCTCTCCAACCCAATGCTACAAAGCTTTACACTTCACTAACAGTTATTCTTACAAGAGGAGAAATTTCTCCAAAATGGCCGCCACTGACTCGCCAAGATTTTAAGACGATCAAATGAAACTTATTTTTGCTGTACAAGAATGCGGACTTACCGTCATATTTGGACTTTTCGCATTTTGGTGCTTTAGAGATGAAGACTAATCCAACGATTAATATAATAAGACCGAGGCAGAACACAAAGATCGCAACTCCAACGATAACACAATAAGTACACGTCTTCTTTTGTTGCTTGTCMCTTGATTTGATATCGTTTGAAGGAAGAATGCTGAAAGGTAAAGTAGATAATTTATATCAATAGTTTATGGATGAAAATTGCCGATCGATAAGGATACTGAATAGTAATACTGATAATGATGATCATAATGACGATGATGATGATGATGATGGTGATGGTGATGATGATAGTGATAGTGATGTTGATGTTGATGATGATGGTGATGGTGATGGTGATGATGATAGTGATAGTGATGGTGATGTTGATGATGATGTTGATGATGATGATGATGGCGATGATGATTATAGTGATGATGATGATAGTGATGATGATGATGGCGAGATAAAGAATTCACCACTCAAAGTTCCTCTTTATGTGTTTTTTCACCTGTTCGATTGCTAATTTTGACGACAAAATTAAATACTTGGACCACTCAAGTGGATTTCGCAACACTAACTGACTAATGCATCCTCTGCCTTCAAAATGTTGTCAGTAATTAAGAAAACAACGTCGAAGCAATTACAAGAAGCAATATYCATCAAGGCGGGAGGTGAAACAATTATGAACAAAGAAACGGAACTAATATAATACTATCAAAGTTATGGAACAAGTAACTATTATGTAGATATAACGCATGGTGTATAATTTCTTTTTTTTTGAAGTGTCGTAGTGTTTTGTCGAGCACATGACTGTCCCCAGGGAACTGTCCCCGTGTTTTTCACCAGCGCGATCATTAATTTTGACTACAAACTTAAATGCTTGGACCACTCTAGTGGATTTCGCAATRCTATCTGATTAAAGCATCCTTCTGTCCGGCAAAATATTAAACATCCAAGATAATTGCAAGAAGCAAGCATTTATCAAGTGGTTAGGGGGAGGGGAGGGATTATGAACAAAGAAAGGGATTTCATATAATACTATCAAAGCTATAGAACAAGGTAACGATATTGTATGAGTAATCTTGTATAAAGTATCGTATAAGGTATCGTGCTTGATTTCGTTTTTCCGAAGAGTCATGGTGTTTTCTCTAACAATGAATATCCCCAGGGAGCTACCCCACGGGATAGAAAATCAACCAAAATGTCATATCTCACGACAACTTAAATACAAATATCTCTGTAATTATAGTATTACATTAAAGTGATCATAAATATCAAAGAAACTTTCATAAATATTTGATATCGTCTGCTTGACATTTTCTTTGAATAACAAATTTACTGAATATAATAAAAACAGTGAAAATTCACATTTTGTTCGAAGTCTAAGAGTGAGACGTCTGTGGCTTAAACTCTGTTGTACATCTGTTTTCTATCTGAGGGTTTGGTTTACTTAAGGTAAATACTCTAGCTTTTTTCATTGCAAGTTGCCCTGACCTCAAAGTTGTCTTTAAAAATATCTCAGACTGATGTATTTTGAAGATGGCAATGTTGTTGCTATTTGTATAATAACTGGTTTAGATGTTCAGACAGTTTTTCCAAAATAAAGTCACAGATTATTCCAATCGCATATAATCACTTACCTAACACTCCCAGATAGTTCATCTCTTACTAAAACCTCCCGACTGACTCCACTGTCTAGTTCCACATCCTCGTCGAGTCTAAAGCTCGCATCATCTTCATCATTTGAATCAGCCATTTGCTTTCTCCACTCGAAAGAGTTACTAGACGAGCTTGTCATATCTTGATAGAGTAATTGACGATCCGCTTTCTACGACGTTTTCAGAGCAGTATCTCAAACACAATAATGAACTTCTATCTTTGGYAACTTAAACTTGATTTTATGTAGTCATCGTGTTGAGTTGATAGTCATCGGGTGACTARCCAAGAGCACATTCTCCCCGATGCAAAGTCACTCAATCGAGAAAAATTTATGCACAGCTAGAGCTGTTTTTGAAGTCATAAATTATTGCTTGAAGTTGAAACGSCTGGCACCCGAAATAYGCATTAAAATCAATYTAGGTRAGTAAGTGTACACAGCTATTAGGGCCGCGTGTCGAAACCACAAACTGGATGTTGAATGTCAAGGAAAAGCCCCCGAAGATTAATCTAGATGAGCGAAAATCAGAGATTCTGACAGCTTACATAARCTTATTTTGCTTAGTTTATATTAACACACGTCTCTCATAAACAATTATCATCTGAAAATTATTGAGATAATTTTTTTTGATAACATATTAGGGTTCAGAGGTGACGATGGAATATATAGTTGAAAACGCGACAAGAATATTGACACAATATTTACAAAACTTATATCAAAATATGCTATTTTATATCAAGTTAGTGTGCAAATGCATCTCTGRAACGCTCTTGATAAAGATAGTTTTTTCATCGTACTGGTAGACCGCAACTGTCAAAATTAAGCAACAATTTGTCGTAGGAGTTTGCAGCACACCTCATCTGGCGCCGTAACATTTTATGCCTAAACTTTTTTTAATAAACCATTCTTGTTTATATCAAGATAAAAATTGTTATTTCTTTGATCCAATAAAGTACAAAATGCGGCCCTCGAAAAAGAAAATCCTWTTTTATTTTGATTAGCATTTTATGAACCACAAGTTGCTCAGTCTAAAACAGACCGCCATTTTCAACGTGCTGCGTTTTCGGTCCAAAATTTCAATTTGTGCTTCATTTTGCCTACATTTCACCGTGGTTTATAATTGATAGTTTGTAAAAATTGAAAACTCTTGATAATTCTGACTTTTGCAAAACCACACGCCTGTCTGAAAACCGCCATATTTTTTGTGTAACAAAATTACGGTTTATTTCAATAGAGTATAGGCGAGCAACGGGAGGTGTATAATGGCGGCCAGGGCATGGGCGTGTTTCTCTTAAAGATATATATAAAAACATCAGCTTTCAGTTCTGCTCTTTTGGAAGAGTTCATTAACTGCCACGAAAGCAGAAAATTTTCGTCGTGATTTCGCATTGCAAAGCACGCAATATACATATATATGATATGTGGCCTTTCACCTTGCGGCTGAATACCCATCTATGGACTAGCAACATATACAAAACACCCGACTAAACCAGACACGTATGAGCTGACCTTTATGTATTTGAAGAAGACACATTTTTTATAGTGGTTTTCATTAACCCGTGAAACACACTTGAGCGTATTTATCGCTATTACACTTTGGCTCTATTGTTTTTTATTGTCTCTACGCGACTATTACGATCTATTACACTCTAATTATTACACTTTGTTTCACGGGTTTATGAAAACCACTCTAACTAACAATCATTTATAGATTAGTTGCAGAGTGCAATTTAATCATTCAGATAGTATGACCGTGTGTATTCCGGAGCCTGGACGCGAGTAAATGGATCGATCTGATTGGTTGATATCGAATTTTTTCTGGACTAGTCTTTTGGGTAGACCCGCTCTCTGCATGACTTGCGATTTTTTGAATTCTTGCAAATCATCACTTAACTTTTGCATGTAAAAACAAACCTAATGCAGAAAGAACAATACTGAAGTTCAACTTAATGCTATTTCTAGCGGCAAAGATCATGGAAATGGACTGATTTTATTCACCTGACGAAATTTCAGACGACAAGGAAATCGTAGAAGGTAAAGGCTGTCTGWAAATTTGATGTTCATTGTTATCTGTGAATTGCATTTTGTTCACAAACTCTTAAGCGAGTTTTCTTGGTCTAGATACAAAAATCTATACGCCTTGATCGCAGCGTTAGGTCACTTGTAATTCCTCAGATCGTGGTCATAGGCTTTTGTACATGGACCACACGCTCGGCTAACACACAGAGATCTATATATAACGTGCGGAGAGCGATCCTACTATTAAATATCAGAGTCCCGTTGTGCGAAGGGTGAATAACGCCATCGACCGGTTAAATTCTTACACAGCTGTACAGCTCTCTTTTCGATACGCACGGCCACTTTCAAATATATCGAAAGCCGCATGCAGGAAGAGGTGTTTTCGGGCAAAAGTAAAGGACCTTTCTTCATGATGCTGCATGCATGCCTTCAATATTGTTGAAAGGACCCAGCGTAAAACTCGGAAATCCTTCTACATAAGGTCTTGGATGGTCTGCAGGGAAGGCTTATGCCTCACTTCATGTATGGACATCGATCCCGACCAGAAAACAAGCTATAATTTGTTAAATAGTATTTTTACTATCTATATCGTATTGTAGTATAAATTAGTTAAGATTTTACCTGATTTTCTGCGGAATCTACGGAAAGCCACTTGTAGACTGTTTATTATAATTATTATCAGTTGCGTAAGTAACATCGGTTTAAGGCTCTAGTTTTTAGTTCACTAGTTTTAGTCATCACTAAGAGTCAAGGGCTTACGGTCTGGCAGCTTGAAGATGGGGAATTGGAGCGAGAAAGGAAGAGCGCCACGCCGCGCCACCAGTCCATAACCGTCACCATTACAAAAGAAGCCCGACAGAGTAAAAACAGTTGCMCGGCGGAGGGTATGGTTGGGTTACCTGTGGTACGACTACGCGTTTTCGTGTAAACGTGAAAATAAATATGCAGTTTCTAAAACATCCTGGGTATCGGTAAACGTAACGTGAGACAATAATCAGCTTGAGTTCTTTAAATATACATAAATAATAATAAATAAACACTAATTACGACTGCGTCAATTGTCTAACTGAAATTCGATGGCTGCAGATATAGTTAGAGAACGTTTCATCGTCACGTAATTGAGGTTAATTGAGTTATCTCTTTGTTGATTTGATTGAAATCAAACGAAGCTGACAAAATCAAGGTTGCGAAACACTTGAAAGGTTTCTTCAAAAGACACTTGAAAGGTTTCCCTAACGGAGCACTTAAAAGGTTTTCCTTCTGTAGCACTTGAAAGGCTTCCCTCACGGAGCACTTGAAAGGTTTTCCTCGATTAGCACTTGAAAGGTATCTCTCGACTTTTCCTTTATTTCGCTGTGCCCAACTAATACTTGGTTGACAATTTCATTGCGCAACCATGGTAGACACGACCAACAGAGGGAATCTCTCTGACTGCATTTGCACTGAGAAAACTGATGATATTGGCAATGTATTTCGTTAATTGTGTGAAGTGGAAACACGTGATCGGCTGTCATCTCTTTCCGACTGATGCTCTAGATTAGAGAGAAAAAAACAAATCAAACATAAAAATTGTTTTATGCAAAAAATTATAAAATAACAGAGAATTTGACAGAATGATCATGGATTACTTGATTGATTTATGTCTTTCTTTCTCAAACGCTGTCTCGGGAGGTTCGCATTCATATGACACCATAGACAGATCTAAACAAGAAGAGGTATAAAGGGAACATTATCTGGACAATCATCATCATCATCATCATTAT